TGATGTAAGGAAAAGAAGTGGAAAAATGATTTAGAGTGTTGTGGAGGTGGTAGTTTAAATTGTACTACAGGCAGGTTCTATCTGTCTTTTCGTTTATGTTTGTTCATCATTGTCAACGTTACAGCAATATTATACATCACATTCTGTAGTAAGTGGAAAGAGTGTTAGGAACAGTTTAGCTTACCATTTCTTTTTGCTTGCTATTACATTTTAATGGATTCCATTGATAGATAAATTGTACGAAGCTATTGTCATCCATTGTCATTAAATCACTCTATATTTCCTTCCCTGAATATCATCAATTTCATCATCATTTAATTCTCTTCTATATTATTAAAGTTCATTATCATTTTTACTGTTGTTATTATTACTATTTATTACAAAATAACATGTATTCTTTCTATCTTCATTATTATTTCTATCAACTACCACTCTTTATGATTTTATATTTTTTAAATACTTTTCCAATAATTTCGCTAACGCAATGTCCACCACTTCAACCACCATGCCGTTGTGCACCATCTATTTATGAACCTATTGCTATTATTTGTGAAAATGCATCCACTTTATCTGATATATTAACTGCTATTATGGAAGCACGGAGTGTTACAGTATGTTATTGTTGTTGTTTGTTCATACTTTTTTTTTTTTACTATATATTTACAATTTTATAATGACAAAATTCTTTGAAATTCATTTTTTTTAATGAGATAAACGGATTAATTACCATTTAGTTTTCTATTTTGATTTATCCCATATTTTTCCTAAAGATTCTTTTAAAATTCTTGAAATGTAGATAATTCATTAATTTCATTTAAATTTTAAACTCCTACATTTTTTTTTACCAATTAGAAAAGATTACATTTTTTTTAAAAGAAATATTGACATTCCTTTAGCTTCAAACTTAATCATAATTTAAAATAATTTAATAGATAATATTATTTCAGATAGCTGTTCTTCATATAACGGATACTGTAATTCCAAGTCTTCCAGCCTATATATTTCAAGATTTTACCATTTCACGATTGGTGCTGAATCGATGCAATCTAAATCAAATAGATGAGAATGCATTTGTTGGAGCAAGTCTTGATAAGCTGATTGATTTGGATCTTTCTGATAATCAACTTGGTGCAATACCCATAGCTGGTGTTTCACGTTTGACAAACCTCAGGAAACTGTCCCTGAATCGTAATCGCATCACTCAACTGGAGTCAAATTCATTCATAAACTATGAGTCACGAGATATATTGCAGAAACTGGAACTAGCTGGAAATCGATTGACAGATCAAACTCTCAATGATTCACCAGTCTTTAGACCATTACATTCCTTACAACAGCTAAGTCTGGAAACTAACGCACTAAGTATTATCCCATCTGCTTCATTAGTTAATCAACGACGAACACTAATTAACCTGAATTTGGGTTTAAATCAAATTAACGAAGTACCTGTTGGTACGTTAGATTTCCCAAATCTTAATTCACTTTCGCTTGAATTCAATGGTATTTCACATATCATTCCGCAAGCATTTCAAGGAATTCCGAATCTGCAACATTTGTATCTTACGGGTAACAAATTTCCTTCCTGGCAACCTGAAATGTTCACATTCGTTCCGCATCTGTTAACTTTAAGCATTGGTGAAACTCCAATTGCTGTAATACCGTCAAATGCTTTCCAGGTAATTACGACGGATTTAATTATCAGTTCCATCGTGTTTGTGATTTGGAAGTATTAATAACACTCAATTTACTTTTATTTCCACTTCTCTCCCTGTTATAGTGTATTATTTATTGTTTTTTTAATATTCTAATGCTTTTATTCCTTTTCTTCTTTTATTTGAGTCATTACTTTTGTAATTAATCTAGTCATGGTAATATAGCAATTGTTATTCAATAAGATCAAGATATATTTGTTTCATCCATTTTATATTTAATTTACATTTTTAAATTATTTCAGTTCCCTTCTGCTGGCTTTAAATGTTTCATTTTTCAAGTAATTATTTTTGTGTTGCTACTGTAAAAAATCAAAAAAATTTTTTTTAAACTTGGAAATATAAACTACATATCACAATGAAATTTATCGAAATGAACTATGATTATTCAACTTGCGTTATTTTTTATCAAATTCAATTATTCGGTAACTTAAAAACTAGTCATCTTCGGAATTTATATTCAAAGCATAAAATACAAATTAATTGCAGTATATATCCAAGTTAGTACGCTTGGAAATGTCCGAAGCAGCTGTTGACACAATTGAGCGAGGTGTTTTCCAGAGAACGCCAAACATTCAAGCAATTATTTTGAATAAAAATCGTCTTTCTGTGTAAGTTTGAGCTTCCTACTTTTTGCATAAACCGATGAAAACTTAAACATCAAATACTTTGAAAGGAAGGATGAGAATTAAGAAGATTTACACATTCATCCTTGAAACAATCTTCCCCTAATTACGATAAAATTGATAACATTGCTGGTAATGAAGTAAGCATTATGACATCTCATATTTCAAACTGTATGATGTTGCTAAAAAATTCGAATCACGGATTTGCTTCCTTTTTCTAGGATACGTTCCGATTACTTTAAAGGTCTGGATCACTTGTATTCAGTGAATTTAGGTGGCAATCGCATTGATACTTGTGAACCATTCGCTTTTGCAAATCTTCCACAAATGAATCATCTCGATATCAGGTTCTTTTTCTATATCTTTCGAATTTTTGACTGTGACTTTATGGAAGTTTGGAAACCATTTAATTCAAAGATTTGCTTCAAATTCCCCGACCAGTTAGTAGTAAAAATTCGAATGATACATGAGCTTTTCGAAATATCTAATTAACTTGCAAACGCAATAATCGAAAAACAATTCATCCGTTTTTTCATTGAGCAGAGCAATTAATTTTAGTTTCAATCAGCTCCAAACATTACCAGACAACACGTTTACAAACTCATTTTTACCGGATCCAAAAGAACGACGTATCATGTATGTGTGTGGTAATCCCTGGTTATGCAATTCAGCTCTCCAGTGGTTTCGGACTTACCTCCGCGAAAACGTTGACATTGACGTCGATAAACCTGGATGCGTTGCTGCTTGTATTGAAGGTGTTAACGGTTGTCCTTCAGCTGGTACCCCGTTACGAGCGATGGATTACTGTCCTGCCAATGATATACCTCTCCCACTAACCGGAAATGCGCTGTCACTCGTTGGCTGGATTATCTTGGGTTGGTATTTCCAAAACTTATTTGAGGATTTTTATTGTGAAAATACGATCACAACAATCTATCTCTTTAGTTCTGGACACCCGTTTCTGATAGGATATTCCTTATTATTATTAATTGCCGTTCGGAGAGAGCGTTATATCGGTGATAGCGCACTTCAAAAACATGTTTCAACACCAAATTCATATATTTTGCAGCTATCATAATGACAATTTTATTGATCAGTATATGTTTGATGGCACTAGTTCGCTATGGAATATCTCATCGAAGGAAAAAAATCAAGGATCAGGAAGCATTAGAAGATGAACAGAGGATTACGTCAATAACAGGTTCATCAATATATAAAATAGCCAAAACCTTACATTCAAAAAAGATGATGCAGAATAGAAAATTTACGCTCAAAAATAACTAATATTAAATTTAAAATCTGAGAAAATATTACCGTTTTTTATAGGAAGTGGAGTACCATCAATAATAACTCGACCTTACTTGTCGCCACCAACAGTAGATCTCGATTTACCTCCAGCTCACAGTTTAGATGAAACGCCAACCAACTATTTGTATTAATGCCTTATCACAAAAAAAAATTCCAAGTTAAGAACTGAAGATCTAATATAATCGTTATATTTAAGAAACTTATAGTCAATAGCTCGACAGCGATGTATAAACGGTAATTATATTTGCATATACACATCGATTACCAGTAAAATCATACTGACAATTTAATTTCCATATCATAGGAACAGACTGGAAAAAGCTTCGTAATGTATAATTTGTAGGGATGTCTACGATACGATAACACAAATCATATCCGAAAATTTTGATTTAGATAAAATTTAATAAAATACTATCTTGATGATGCGAACCTACCATGCATCATGGCCCAGGTAAGAAACTGCCGGGGCACATTTAGTAACAATTTTGTAACAAGTTCATTACTGGTCATAGAAGCAGTATAAGGAACAAAAGTAACAATTTCGCGGCGTAATAAACGGCCCTCAGAAGATTTAAGTATCGGGGAAAGCAGACGCTGCATTGGGGAAAAGTCTTGGTTACCAACACCAACAATAACAATCGACACGGGTAATTCTGCACAATCCACGATTGCATTCACCGTTCGCTCTGGATTCGTCACACATCCATCTGTTACAATGAGTAACACAAAATAATGATCACTCCTTCCCTGACGTTGCACTGCTGCTCCAAACCTAATTCATAATATGAAGAAACATTAGCAAATTAGTATCAGTAAAATTATCGTTTCAATGGAATTTTGCGCGCGTATTGTCTATGTTTGAAACATAATAATTGAAATTAATAAAATGAAATGACTCACTTGTAAGTATGATATATAACTTCTGAGTAATCCGTTGGTGCATATGGTCGTATAGAGAGTAAAGCAGAACGATATGCGTTCAATACGCCATCAATACCATTAACGTGCGGATCTTTGGCATCACCATTCTACAATTTCACGAACCAAAAATTAAACTGCCAAACAAGCAAAGAAATAATAGGGGAAAAATAAAATTAACATAAAAATACTTGCCAGGAAAAAGAGATGTGAGACTTTATAATCAGGAGGTGTCTGTGCTCCGAAACCAAGTGCAGCAATTCGTCCATGTCTATTATATTTTCCAATTACCGATGTAACTGCACTTAGTGCCGTCATATATGGGTTAAATCTAGAACACAAGTTTCAATACTTTAGATTTCACTGTTAAATGATGACTTCTCTACTGGGTATTTCACCCTCTGCAGTGAGTAACTTCCCTACAATCCGGAACATGCACCATAACATGTCGAAAAAGTTATATTATTTACTATCTGATGATGATTTGAAATTATTTGGTGAATTGAAATAAAACTCAAAATAAAAAATAACTTGTGTGGATGAATGTAGTGCAGTGATGATGGATCCAGTGGATTCCCGTTTGAAGCCGTAAAATCTACAGCTACTGAGAAATGAATCTGCGTTCTGGAAAGCATGGTTTTTTTTACAATACACGCTAATGATAGCTGCTGGTAATTGTACATACTAGTAAAGATTTGACATTATAAATCTAAAAATATCATATACAAATGAGCAGAACCTAAAGAAATAGTATAAAAAGGCAAATGGACTTACCCAGCTTTAAGGTAGTCAATAAATGAAGACGATGCAACCTGGATAACGTTCACCAATTCCACTGAAGCGTTTCCCTTCTTTTTGCCCTCAAGACCTGACAACTGTAAGACTTCGTATGACTATTATGAATGAATTATGAAGCAATAATAAATTTGTATCATTATTTGATAAGATACGGAAAATGAAATACCTTGTATGCGTTTAAAGCGCCAACTCCTCTCAAAAGCTGATCAAATGATGTCGCACATTTCCCTATGAGTGTATCCCTGAAATGAAAATAAAATTTCACAGTGCACATTTTCCACAGTTAGTCGGGAAATATGAAATAATTTTCATGTTTAGCTCAGTGTTATTGGATTGATCGCTAGGAGATATGTCAGTTTTTTAATGATGCATTAGGCATGCATAAATAAAAACCTTTCTAAATACAAAATAAAAAAAGTTCTCATTGTGAGATATGGTTTTTTACTAGTACGAAGAATAAATAATTAGCGGGAGATCACCATTAAAGAAATTAAGCGTGTTCTATAAAACGATTACCTTCCCTATCCTTCTACTTTTACATAAGCACTTAAAAATATCTTTAACATTTATTTCAGAGAGTTATTCAGTCTGGTGCTGAAACGTACTCGCGATTAACGTTGTAGTTATAAACATCAATTTCAATCGAGCAGCTAGCGGACGCAAATGAAAAATGAGAAATAGGGACGAGAAAAGCTTTCCACACAGGATGTTTTTCGGCAATTGCTTCACTTTTATGCAATAGTAATTTTGATGCACCTTCCGGAACCAAATACATCATAAAATAGGCATCCAAGGGACAATCACTCGATGGGGCATGTAAACTATGACCTTTAAACTGCAAATGAACAGCCTGACTTGACAGTTTTGTCTCATATGTTTCCAAGCGTAAAAACGATATTCCTGTAAAAGCAATTTGAGAGAGTTTAAATTACAATTTTTAGGAATCACTAAATCTCAGCAACCTAAAAACAGATAGTTGTTTTTTATTGAATTACCACACAATGTGGATATGATTATCACTGCCTTTAAAAATTACACCCATGAATGATATTTCAATATTATTCCGAAATTCAAGACCTTTTTACAAATCTTCACCCGGAATATTTCTTCTTTCACTTTAAAAAAGTTCATTTCATCCACTGTACCTCCGTTTGGAAACAGTGGTAATTTGATGGAACCACCACGTGAAAGTACTTCGCCTAATATGCATTCCACCCTTGCAATCACACCAATAAACCTTTCGCTATTTCCATCAACTTGATTTCTACAAAAAATATAACATCCGATGATGTCTCTTAAGAATGAATTATTCTGTATTCTGTACCAAAAAAATAAATTATTCTGCATAAAACACGACTTAATAAAAAAAGATTCCAATTGTACATAAAACTAACATCACACACTGAAGTTTCTGAGAACTTTCAAAGCAGTATGAGACATAGCAGCGACGACTGAAAACCGGATTAATGTTGCCAATAACTGTTTCTGTTTGTCCGATCTGATCAACAATCAAAGCATTTATCAAATGAAATTCAAGGAACATTATCAAAAAAGAAATCACTCAACAGTGCTATCTACGCATTCAGTAAAGACTTCCGATGGTACAAAAAAGTAAGCATGCTACGTAAAAAAGTTTCCGAATAATCATTCCATTCAATTCCATCAGACGGTTAAGTCAACGTAAACAAAGGAAATGGAATTCTAACAGAATTTAATTTGTGAACCTCTTTAAAAAACTGAGCTGAAAAAGAGAAAAAGCTGACCTCAAGAAAATTTTCTTTGTCGTTGGAGCATAAAGAAAGGGTAATCCGAACACCTGAGATTGCTTCCATTGGAAGTGCACTAAATATTTAAACATCTTCATGAATGAAGACTGAGGAGATGGCTACATAAAAGGTATGCAAATAACAAGCGTGTAATACGTGGATATTCATGCAATAATAGGGTAATTAAGGAGATCAAGATGCAAAAGTCTGCACACTCAACACAATGATGACCTTCAGGTAATCAACTCACTTCAGAATTTGAAAATGTATAATCTTTAAACTACTCAGCGAAAAAATTCAACGCATAATATTATGTCCCATGCTCCCCATATATATTTATGCTGCATAAATCCAGATATATCTGAAAAATGTAATTTCAGAATACCTGCAACTGAACGACAACTCCAATTGCTGCTGCTCCATTTCGAATTCAAGATTCTCAAACTTGTCAGACGATGATTATGCGTTCATTCTTTGTTTTCATTTTTTTTTTTGTAGAAGCCGACAAATACTGAAACAAACTTCACGTGAAAGAAGTAGGTTTTTACGCTAATAAAGTGCATATTTCATTTAGTCTATTAATGGTGATAGGAAGCAGAGTAACATATTAAAAAAATGCTTGGGTAAAAAGGTTAATAAACAAATAAAACTAGAAGAAAAATCGATTAAAGTAACACGGTACCAAACAGCTTTCCCCTCTCTTCCTCTCTCTTCCCCCTCTTGCTCCACGCTTACAATTTTAAAAAACACGTTTTGAAAAAAAAGGCATGTAACTTTTATTGTGCACACTGACAGGAACAATTTGCAAAAATGTGATCCCTCACCTAAATTGACAATTCGACGTTCATTGTGATTTCTAATAAATTTTTGGTAAATCTAATAAAATAAATATACATGAATGATCAATTGAGTGAAATTATTCATATAATTTATATGAATGTCAAAAACATTCTTTTATTTGTTAATTTCGGAAAAAAAGACTGATCCTGTAAATAGAGTTGAATTAAATCATTGGTTTTTTTTGGATCAAGAAAAAAATTTCATTTAAATGTAACAACTTTGATTATTTATTTTTCTTTTTTCTTTAATATGACTGTCACCGTTTAGAATAATATCAAGATGGCAATCCTGAAAAAAATATTATTGGTAATTTTGTTTGATTGTTTAATCAATCAAAAATTGTTAAATTAGAGTGGAAATTTTGCAATAAAATTCAAAACAAGAAATTCATTTCTTCAGAAAAAATCCTATGCATATATCATATTTGAAAGGAAAAAAAGTTAGAGATATGGAATTTTTCGTTGCATTACGATACTTTTATAATATATCAGTAAAGTAAATGTTTAATCAATCATAAATTGTTCAATTAAAAACGAAATAAAGAAACGATTGCATACTTTTTATTGAGATATTGAACATCTTTGTACTAATATATTCTTCAAACAAGCCGATTACTCATTATGTTTTAATTAAACGCTATCCTAAAATTTGTTCATACTTTTTTTGCCTATGAATAATGTAATAATAGCTTTTACCTGTTATTGAAGTCTTTTTCCTATTACTTACCAGTTCACATGCTTTCAGAATCTATAACAATTTTGCATGAAATTTTCCTTATTTTCCTAGATAACAATGTTTTTTGATAAATGATATTTCATCTTTAGCTATTCTTATTTCGTGTCGAAAAGTTTTCATATCTTTCGAGATTTTTCTATAAATAGATTGATTGGAATTTATTTGAGCATTTGTGAATTTATGCAGAGTTTATTCATTTATAACTCTCTGATTCTACTCAATAATTTATAACGACTTATTTACTCATATAGTATTTGATATTTTAAAAACATCTATTTTGAGTAGAAAAACTAATGCAATCATGTTTTTAAATTTTTCCGTAACTTAATTTTATTTTATTTGTAGGATTTTGTTGTTGTATGGAATTAAAATGCCTACTATCATGGAAATTAATCTCCGAATATTTGCTGTAACAGGGAATGATTCAAATAGCAACTAATTAGAATTCACTTTTCAACACGAAAAAAAATCCATTTGAGTTTTAAAATATGAAATATATGAAAACTATTAGCCTACTTTATTTCCCTTCCTTTTCCTATTTTTATGCATAGTATTTGCTCAGTTCAAGAGAACAAGTGATGAATATGTTCTGATGTAAATTGAAATGATATCAATTAATTTAACAACTTCAGACAGTCGAGAGCGCTCATTCATAACTTTTTCGTCATTTCTCCCTCTTTGATATAATTTTCATATTAATTCCATTTTGATGCTATCACTAATTTATAATCGATGATTTGTTTTATCTTCCTTGTCTATTATCAGTTTTTAAGTGAAACAGTTTCTCTTGCTCTGAACCGCTAGAATCATGAAGTATTTTATCATACAACGTATTATACTAGAATAAACATTCTCAGATGCAATCATTCAATTGTGACCCATAATATCACTGTTGAATCTTCTGTTCAGTAAAGGTTCATTTACTTTCAACAGCTTAATCTTATGTGGTTGATAGAAGTGATTAATTCATTATCAGCTTATTTGAAATTTTAATTATGTATACCGATGAAGAAATGCTATCTTTAAACCGTGGAAAAATGTTGGAATTGGGTTTTATATCAAATAAATTTTCTCCCTCACTTGCAAATTTTTCGAATGAATGCAGCAATTTTTTTTTTTTTGGATCTATGCTTCACTTTTGAATATTAAATTTTTTGAAATATAAAATACAAATTTACATCTAAAGAGTATTTGAGAAGTGGTGTATCGAATGATTGGCTATTTAATAGATATTTTACATCGCCTTTATTATTTCTTGTTTGATCGGTTAATACTATATCCACTACTAAGCCTGCTATGCGATAAGCTTAATATACGATTCATGAATCTCGGATATCAGCTCAAGAAAGATGAAAATTTCCCAATCCTGGAGAAATTATCCGAAATGGACAATTGCTGCATAGCCAATATTGCACTTTATGAAAAAACATTAAGTTTATGCCCAAAATATCCTAATTTCGAAGGATTACGATTGCTTGAAGTTGGCTGTGGTCAAGGTGGTGGTATCGAATGGATTTTAAGGTTAATTGAGCGAAATTTAAAATTTGTTTAAAAATTTGCAAAAAAAAAAAAATTTTATAAGCACAAAGAAATGCACGGAATTTTTTTTTCGTTTCCCAAATTATAAACATTTCAACAAAAAAATAAGGAAAATGGTAATTAGAGAAGAATATGAAAAACATATACTCCGAGATTTTCATGACAACCATAAAGAACGTTTGCAATTGACGCATGCGTTATATCATTGATTGCAAAAAAGATATGGTAAAATACTAAGCGGTAAATAAATATTGAGAAATTAATCAAATAAATAAATCTATTAAAAATTAATTGCAGAGCTCATTCATTCGCAATTGTAAATGGTGTTGATCCGAACATTCTGGATTCATTTTCCGGTAAAATTGTTAAGGGAAATGCAGAAAAATTACCATTTGTTAATGATTCATTTGATATTATAATAAACATCGAAAGCAGCCATTTGTATGGCAATTGCCAGCAATTTTTCTTGGAGTGTTCCAGAGTTTTGTGTGAAAACGGATTTTTGTGTTGGGCTGATCTTCGCTATACTCATCAGGTATAAAGCTAATGTTATACTATATTATGGGTTTCAAATTTTAAAAGTTTTATTTTCAGCTGAAAATAACTATGATTCAAGCACAAAAATCCGGTTTACACCTGATTAGGACAGACGATATCACAGAACAAGTGTTGCAAGGTATTCAATCAACATCATCAAGGTACGATGCAATGCTGCAAAATGCACCATACTTCATTCGCCTCTTTCAAAACTCCATTCGGACGACATACTGCGCACCAGGAACGAGAAGTTACGAACGCTTCTTGAAACGTGAAAAAATGTATGTTTGCGCATGCTGGCAAAATAACAAGGGAATCAAAAAATTTGATTAAGCAAGTGAATTCAAATTTGATTATTTCTGTATTAACTGTTGTCTTCTTTAAATGATTAGCCATTACTCAAAAGAATGGCATTTATGGTATCTTCATGTTATCTTAAAATTCAGTACGTCATCTTTTGCATTTCGTGCTAACAACGATGAACGAAATATAGAGTATTCCCAGAAAATTGATCAAGACTAAAAAATTTTGGCTGTAGAAAATACGCTGCATATATCTACTAATGAAATCATCCAAACTTTATTATAAATAAAAAAAAATTAACTTCATCATACAGTTTTACTAGTGATTTATTTAAAATCATTATCACCACTTCCGCTAATGCACTCACCACCAATTTCATCAGCATCATCATTTTCACTTTCGGAATCTGACTCTGGCATATCAATTGGTTGATGCTTCATTTCATTTGCTTCTTTCTCAAGTAGTTGCATATAAGCCTTTTGTCGGACTATAACTTCTGCACCATCTTTGCATGCTGCATATGCGTCGAGTACATCTCTATTTACTTTCAAAAAATTGGGGCCCCACTTGAATTTCGAAAGGAGTAACTGTGCATTTCCCTTCAGACCAATCATGTACAGGGCCGCTGCAAATGCTTCAACGCAACTCAGTTGACATGGCTTTCCAAAATTCACCGGATTTGTAGCAACTAAATATGGCAAAAGACGATGATGCGAAGCTCTAGCTTTATTTAAATTAATATCCGCGACCTAAAATAATAGAAAAATAACAAAGTCCGCAATCGAATAAAGATGTAATCCTCAATTCATTTCATTATAAGTGACATCAGAGATTTACCCCGAGATAAAGATCAAAATTAGAAAACCTGATTCCAACTGCAGTCAACAACAGCAATGCCGCCCTTTTTTATACAATTGAGATCAGCAGCAGAAATTGTTCGTTGGCCAATCGGAGAAAGCAACAAACCAGGAAATTTGGTTCCCAGCTTTAAAACTTTAACAAAGCCATAGCGCACTAGCTTTTTTCCTGTACATCGCTTCGGATCACATTGCTCGAAATCAAACATTGCTGAAACTCACTTAAATTGTTCTGAATTCCTGAAACCAATGAAACATGAAAACTTGAAACTTATTTTTCAACGGACTATGTATGCCACATGCAAAATATGTTGCATTACCGTGAACAGCCTAACTGTGCTGAATGGCTATGTCATCTTGATCGTGGCAGATGACTAAGCATGCTTGCTTTTTGATCTGTACATTACTGATGAACCATATATTAAATAACTATAAAACAAATTTAGCAATCAATATAAAATATTGAGCGAAAAATATCATTAGAAATAAGACAAAAGAATCTCTTTGAGCCTACCTAAGTTGAATGGAAGTTTTTCAATGACATTTTCCTCACTGTCAGAATCGCTTTCATTTGAGGAGCTTGCTGCTTGATGATAAATAGTGGATTCCATTTCAGGAAACATTCTCTCAGTAATGAAGATTTAAATCTGAAGTGAAATATATCAGTATGTAACCTAAACATAACCAAAAACAATAAAGCGAAATTAAAAACAAAGGGAAAAGCAATACATGGAGAACAATTAACCCAATATCCAATTCATCAACAACGAAACAATGCAAAAATATTTATTATAATATCTCTTACTCTATACAATAATAGCAAATATTCGCAATAGATACATTGAGCTCAGTTTGAGTTCACTTAGCAGTACGAATCTACTTGATAAAAAATACAAACATGTACACTGATCACTGAAATTATGGAATCATCAAATTATTCAGCAATAATTATATGTTAAAATTAAATGAAACTCCTCATTATTTGAGGAATTCATGAAATCCACATTGGCATTGTATAACAAACCCAATCGTCACACCTTTTCTGATACTAAACTACTGCAGTTGCATTCCCTTCTTCCACCTCATTTGCCTCAAATTTAATTCAACTATTAAAAATGATGAGTCAAAAAAGTTTTAAATCTTCTCAAGAAAAGCATGCGTCAAACCATCCATTCACTAACTTTGATAATAGTTGAAAACCCCTACCTTTGGGAAAGAACGCATTACTCAGTCAAAGAACGTCAATGTTTAACTGAATTAAAATACCATAGAGACAACATTAAAATGTACATGCCAAGTGAAGTTTTTCAAGGAAAGAATTAGAGGTCTTCAAAAGACACCAAAATCCCACAACTTGACAGTCATGTCATAAGAGCCCGACACAATTTGTTGATCACTGAATTGCACACACGTAACACCATCGGTATGGCTATGAAGAGTACATAATCTTTCACCCGTATGTAAATTCCATACCTAAATAAATTACATTATTTACTAAGAACATTTAGATAAAAAAAAGTCGAAATCATTAATATGATTTGTCAGCAAAGAAGCAAAGAACGTACCTTGATAGTCCGGTCGTCTGCTGCGGAAACGATTCTCCATGAATCGACCTGAAGGCATCGAACTACACCTGTATGACCCTCACTTAATTTCCAATCCAATGTTTGTACACACTTTCCAGTCCGTAAATCCCACATCTTAAAACTCATAAAATTCTTCTGAATTCAAGTTCAAAGAGAACTCAAATATTCCAACAAACATTTTTTATTCTTCTTGTTTTAAAAAACTGTTAGCGCCAGACAGCTTTTATTAGAGCATAAAACAATGTGAAAGTAATTTTACGCACATAAATTAGGAAAATCTGACCTTAATTGTTCGATCGACAGATCCTGACACAATCCTTTCGTTATCGAATCGAAGACATGTTACAGCATTGTCGTGTGCGTTATGCAATGTCATCGCACAGACATCCATTCGCTCATCCCAGCACTTAAACAAATATCTTTACAATTAAAATGAATTTTGTCTAAAATGATAAATCTTATAATAAAAAAGCAACAAAAGAAAAAAAAAAAGATTTTCCAAAGCGTCTTTATTCATCTGTCAAACATCTTTCTCATAATCACCTATATTTGAATAGTGACAAACTAACTTTCATTGATAGGTCCGCTGACCCTGAAACAAGCAAGTGTCCATCGGATTGCATACAGATCACAGCTCCATTATGCCCTCTAGACAAATACATTACTATACAAGAATAACAAATGAATAACAGCAGCAACCCCAACCTTCACGGTAAATTGAGGGAAAAATAGATATTTATAAACGATGAAATTGCATTTAATTTCAGCACACAAACGCATGACAGTCTGCATAATTAGCTTCTTTTGACTTATTTTCTTAGGAGATACCATTGGATACTTTTAATGACTTGATCCTTGCAAAGCTTACATTAAAGTTTTCATACACTGCCCAGTTTCGGTAGACCATATTTTCAAAGTATGATCATACGAACCGCTGATCAATCGTTCCTTTTCCATCTAAACGAAGTTCATCTTGAATGCTGCTGGTAAGACAATTATCTCAATTTTATAATCAAAAAAAAACTGGTATTGAAAATATATATAATTTAGTTTTCAATGAAAAAAGTGAATGCAGTATTCTTGAAAAAAAAACTGAAGAAATTACTTGCAAACATCGTACGAAATTTGTATGTCCGATCATTGTTTGGCGACAAGCAATGGAAGACCACGTTCGATTTACAGCAAGCCCCCAAACCTTCAAGATTTTTTCACTGTAATAAAGTTATCTCGTTAAAATCGTTTCACGTAGCACAGAATTGCACTTATTTCTCATAATAAACCTTTTGATTCCTAACATATGAGATGAGGGTAGCTTAACCTATTTAACAACTCTTGAAGGATTGGGGTTCAAATTATTAGTGTAGTTGAAAAATGATCTTTAAGACAGCCCTGAATTTAAAAATATAAAACTCAAAAATATAAATTTTCATAATGATATTTATAAAATTTAATGAAGTCAATTAACCTTGATGGTTAAATCGTTGGAGCCAGAAGCAAGTCGATTACCACTCAAGTGCAAACAACGAACAGTATCAGAATGACCTGTTAGTGTCATGGTACCCAGACCTGATATACCAGAATTCTTCATATCCCAAACACGAATTGTATTATCGCTGCTTCCGGACACAATGCGATCACCATCGAATTGAACGCAAGATATACCTGAAATATGCTACGACTACAACACTTCATCAGTTTGGATGATTAGTAGTTGGGAATAATACAGTTTGAAGCTACGAATAAGTAAGATATCATAACCATCTTAATACGACCTGATAAACTATGTGATTTTACTTATCAACGTCAAGCCATTAACCACCAACTAGAAGATCTATGTTAATGAAGACATCACTTCAAAACACAACTGAAGAATATTTGAGAATAACGCGAGGCAATTACCTTGAGTGTGACCCCCAAATGTACGGATGACACAACGACCTGCATGCCAGTTTCTCCATAAACGATAACGCTCACTGAATGCTTCCTTCCACAGTACTACACCATCGCGTGTCGTATGTTTCTTCAGTTGTTCATTTTCAGTTTCAGCTGAGCACAGTCGAAACATACGTTGAAGTGTGCACAGTCTTTTCCACAAGCATGGTGCCATACATAAATTTCTCCAAGCAGTACATACCAACATGCATTTGCAAAGTGATTCTGAAATAAAATTGAAAATTTTAATAATAAAACTTTGCATTTCTCATGGATTTTTCTTTCGTAATGTGCAATTTGGACATAATAATGCGATATAAACGTTGGTAATTGTGCGCCACGTTAAACCAGATAGTAATAAATCAAAAAATCTCCAAACAAGCGAATAAATCCAAAAATATGGTCCATATAGCCAATAAAAGCCAGACAGCAAATATCGCTGATAGTCCCCCAACGCAAAGACAAAGTGATTCTTACGACAATGATTCTATATGAATTCAAATGCACGGCAACACCAGAGGTTACTGTCGTGCATTTGGCTTTAAAAAACAAAAGGCACTACATTACATAAGCCAAGAGTCCTGATCATCATATTGAAACATCTTCCCAATGCAGATTTTATCACAGGATTTTACATGATTATATGAGACTCATTTTCCTCATGCAACTCATGTTTGATATTATATATTTTTTTACAAATATACTTTTGGTATAATAGTAGTGAAAATACAATGGAATTCTCACTTGGATCCAAAAGACGAAAAATTTTTAAAGCAATTGGCAGAGGGAGTGAGCTAAACAAATCGATCTCTACACTGCCCACATTGCTGCGCATTTCTTCCAGCAATGAAGTTGCATATTCCAAATTTGATGAATCACAGACATTCTAGAAAATATGTTAAGATTAATGTTAACAGCCAAAATAAAAGTTTTGCAAAAGAAAACGATAACATCAGAATTGTTATTACCAATATTTCGAAGAGTAGTGCATTTTTCTGTTCTGTATCGGTTTGTTTCAAGTGAAATCGAAGATACTGAAACTGGGATTATTTATGAAATAAAATTATACATAACAATACGTAGTCTTTAAAAATCATGGTACATTAATGTTATTGATTTCGGAAAAGCAAGCATTAACGATAAATATTTATATGATTGAAATGAAACATGGTATATCACGTGTCTTATCACGATTACTGCTATAAGTTTCTAGTATTTAACATTACGGTGTTATTTTTTTGAATTACTGATGTTTGAAAATATATCTCATCCATTGCCATAGGTATACCACCGACAGGTGTTCGGGTCGGATTTCAAATAATTAACCAGTATTAATCATTGGAGAGAGAAAATTATAATAACCTTTATAAGGTCGATACCGGCAAAGAAATCATAGGCTGGATCACATGCCGAACCGTTCATTTTCTTCCGTTTACTGGTTGATAATGAGCAGTCACCTAGCGACGAACACATGGCTGACGTTGAAGCCTTATTTACGCCGCGTGATCTACGTTCATCCATTAGGCGTGCTAAAACATCAAAGGTAAACAAAGCAGGAAAAATTACCACATAAAAAAATTTATACCTTTAAGCAGTCTGAATCATCATAAATTAGTAGCTTCCCATCATCAATTAGCTCAAATTCTTGAACTGTCCAGAACATTTTGTGTAAATTTAAACTAATACGATCATATATTTTAATGCCTTATTAGACTCTGTCTTACATCGAATTTCTTCCTCATTTCTTACAATCGACTGATAAAATCCTCCATACTTCAATGGGAATGCAGTGATACCCAAAGAAAAAAAGTGCGACATGAACCTGTAACATCGAGGAATAGAAAAGACCGCAGCATGCTGCGGTCTTGCCCTGTCGGATGGATGACATTTGTCGAGAATGGCCGGAAGTAACAAGTCTTCAACCTTTATGAAGCTACCGTACGGGGGTAGTGAAGTGAGGTTTGTTTTCTAAGTAACTTCTCGGTCTCTTCTGTTTCACGGTGTTACGAAGCTAATATGATAAGCCCTGACAAAGCATTTTGCGGGTTTCATCAGTTTCGCTGATTGTTTTTTCTCCTTAATGACGTCGCTGAACTATAGACGTTAACGGTCTTCCGTAATAACATCTGCTAAATTATATAGGTTGAAGCATCACTAACCTTGAAAGTTAAGAGAACTTGAGGGATATATTTTGAGGATCTTGAAGACACTTCCTTCCCCTTCTCCTTTTTTATGAGAGGTTGAGGAATAGAAACTGTCGAAAATGATCGTACGTGCACAACCGGGTATAGAAGCAACGAAAATAAACAATAATGCCAAAGAATTTCATTTTATAGGGCTAACGAATTAGTCTGCAAATTTGCATGTTGCCAAAAATGAAAAAAATTGATCATTCCACTGTTAATAATAACTTTTCAGGATAATGATTATTTACGAATAATTTCGAATTGCTGAAATATTGGCAGAATATTGAAGAGTAGAAAGAAACGAACAGTGTTTGATGGCGGAGGTTGCAATTGGAGGAATCTTGACTGGATGCATTGGTTGTATGGTTACTGTTGAAATTCTTACAAAGTATTTTGTTTTATCTGCAGTTTTTATCTACAAGCAATAGCTCAAAATTATGATAAACAAGTGAGAAAAAAAAATAATTTAATTGCATAGCAATGCTTCATAATTCGAAAAGAGATATTTTAAGACGTAGTCCGGAGTGTATGAACTTGCTGACCTGCTCAACATTCATTTTCATATCGCTTATTGGCCTCTTCAAACAATCACATTATTTCACACAGTTACCTCGGAGCAAAGTTCCATTGTTACGGTTGCTTTTCCACTTTTTATTTTTATTCATGACATGAAATGATAAGTAGCATCAGCGGCTAATCCATTAAGTGATTTAAGCAAAAAATATCCACTTTCACCTTTAAAGTTTTTTGGAATAACTCTACAATTTTTGTGATATAAGAGAGATGAGGAAAAAAAGGAAGAAAGAAAATACTATTAATTTTTCACTGACTTACGTAATGCTGTATTAATTTACTATTCATACATCATAAGTGTTCATCACACGATAATATAACTTCGTTCTTGCGAGAATTTTAGAGGTTACGCACGCATTGCTCTTGTATTCTTTGTGGTGAACGTTTCGAATAACTTGGCATTACGATATGATGTTTCCATACCGCTTTTCATCATATTTCACTCAGTAAGTTTTATTTCATCACATAAACAAATATCATCGATTGATCTTCTGAAGTGCATTCATGAACAGTAGGACGGAAGTTTTCATCCATTACTTATTTTGTTTTTCAGTTCAAGTTTAACGTTTATTGATCGTAGTCATATTGTTTGCGAGGATTTGAAATATTTCCTACTAAAGCTTTAGGTTATGTGTAATGCCTACATTCTAGTATCTTGGTAAGATTTAACAAAAATTTCATCATCATTAAAGATTTCAGCTTGATTCCGGCAGTAGTTGTTTTTCGTCTCCAATCACTTGTGATGAGAGAACTTGTTTTTTGGATATATGTGTTACTCTTCCAAATCATGCGGGTCTTTGAAGCTGCTACTAAAATTATTTTTAAAAGTTATAGTTAGTGTTTCAATGGCTAATAATGGTCTCTTATACAGGGAACACTGCTAGCAAATGTGTTGCTGGGTTTTTGTTTGAGGAATAGAATTTATTCGTGGGGAAAGCTCTTGTCCATAGTGTTCATTAGTGCCGGTGTTATACTTTTCACGTTGGCCGACCATTTTTCGAAGCATTCCAAAGAAGAAGATGAGAAGAGTGTACAGCCGTTATCTATTTTCCATTCCTGTTCAGGTTTGATTTTTTAGTGGTACGTTAAAGTTATTCAGTACAAATATATCATCTGCAATTTGAAATTTATTCCCTAAGTTTTATCAATTTTATTGTTTCAAAGTATAAAGGTTTGCAACGTCCGCCAGATGTTTAGATTAGTAATTTTGGAACCTTGTAAGATTGGTTTCTGTTTAGAAATTCAGAACCAGTGAGCAATCCAGCTTATTGATAGAAATAACGACACAATCCCTCTCGTACATCGTTTTCCTCATTTATTGTTTTTGTCCTGTAGAATTTCAATGCTCTGTATATTGTTTACTTTTTACTAATTGGCCTTTTGTTTCAGGAATATTTTTACTGGTGCTTGCAGCGCTCTTGTCGGCTTATTTAGGCATATGCCAAGAAGATTTACATTGTACATATGGGAACCATTCACAAGAAGCGATGTTTTTTATTGTGAGCCATGTATTTTCTTTCGAATTTTTTTGTCACTGCTGAGGGAGTTTGTTTTAATTTTATTGAAAATAAAATCTATGCACAGGAAATTTTACAGCATGTCCTGTCTTTACCTGGTTTTCTTTTCTTTTACAATGATATTCGGCAAGCGGTAATTCATTTCAACAATTCGGATATTCTCTTCATTTTTGGACTGCGTTTCCCGATTCCTTCATTATGGGTTTATATGATTTTGAATTGCATATTCCAGTAAGTAGTTTTTTGTTTGTTTAATAAATTTTATTATTTTAAACTGTAGTGGTAGGTTGTCACTATGAATACTTATTTGTTTTGACCACAAATTATTCTTTAAAAATAGTTAATATAGTTGAGATGCTAAGAGCCCTATTTGTCATATTTTAGTACTTCATGCGTGCTTTTCAGGTTAGTGTAATTTTACTACTCACAGTTATGGGTTGAATTCTCAGAGCGGAGCCATTAAGCTTTAATGATGGATGAGATCCTCTGACAAAAAAACAAAATTCGCATAAATAAATATTCGGATACTCCCTGGTTGATCAGCAATCAGTTTTCGATTTTTGAACTATGTTCTTTAACATCATAGATCATTATTCTAAAACCGAAAATTTAATGAATTACAGGTGGATTTGTATCGCGAATGTACATACGCTTATTTCGCTAACTACATCGCTAAATGTAGCAGTGATTATAACGCTAAGGAAATTCTTATCGATGGTTCTTTCAGTTATTTTATTCGGCAATCCTTTCACTTTTATGCATTGTGTAGGATGTCTCTTTGTATTACTCGGTACTGTAGCGTTCACTTCATGCGATTTCAAATTCAAGTTTGCACTGAAGAAAAATGTGTAAACATATGTAGTATAGGCTAGAACAAGCTTCATAGAGGTCTAAGCAATCAGAAATATTGTAAAAAATCGAATTCCCATTTCTGATACACTCTTGATTCTTCCAACTATTATTGCTTAAGGTACTGATATAGAAGGGGACAAATACTGGTTTCCAATGCTTTGTCTTTTTGTCCCATCTTTTATTATCAAATCTTCATAGGCTTTTGCTATTAATGAAATCATTTTTTTGCTGGTTTTCTTTCCTGATGATTTAGTAACATTTTAGAGTCGTCAGCTTTCACTTATTCACTTATCTCATCTTTCTCTCTAGAATATAAATACAACAAACATAATGAATATAGGCAAAATCAAGAAATGCTAGTAAAGCAGCTGCTCGCTTCGAAAGAAGTAATCTTTAGGTGTTTAACGCTATAATATCTGCTCAGAACAAAAAGAAATTACTATCCTGAAGATTTTTATGACCATATTTATCAAAAAGAAAAAGATAAAGAAATAAAGACGAAGACCCGAAAAATTATAGGTAACTCAGTGGGCACGGAATTTTAATTCCTTTTATTTAATATCCACGCAACGTGTCAATAACAACTGATCGCATCTACTTTGAAAGAAACGGAATTTTTTTTTTACAAACCAATACGTTGGTTACGTCAATTTGCGTATAATTTATTATCATATGCTCAGTTCGGAGTGGTCCTATTCTCTTTCTATAGATAGATTTCAATACAGTAATTTTTTTTCTATCCTTTCATCATCTGTTACTGATCTTTGACACGGTAGAAATATGAGTTCTTGAATACAACATGGTCAAATTATTTTAACTTTTCATATAAAGTGAAGGCAAATCTTAATTAATCCTTTCAAGGATTTCTATTTACTCCCTTTTCCTCATTTTTTTTTTCCATGCAAAGTTTTATAAGACATGTTCGAAGCTACGGGAATAGCTTATTTTTCGTTTCTTTCTTATTGATGGTCACATTTTCAAATATTTTTCAGAAAGTTCTGACAAATATAATAGTCGTACTTTGATTCACTTACAAAGATAAGGATATGATAAATGAAATATCGGCAGTGACTGCTGGTTTATCTATTCATACTATCTCCTAGATATGTTTGAAAAGAATTGGATAAAAGTTTTAAGAAGTATTTCCCGAGGCAAAAAAATTGGAGTAGCCCGCTTTTGCTGCAGTTTTTATTCCAGGACATGGTATAGCTTTTGTCATGTGAAGTAATCGAAGTTTTGTCATGATTCTGCAATCATTTAATGTTTGTCGAAGAAAAATGAAATTTTTTCATTTGCTTCCTTCTATTACATATTATAATTCAGTTAATTTGTCACTTTTTTTTGCTCTCAAAAACCTACTGAAAATAAATTTTTTCGGGACTTTTATCGAATGAAACTGCGTAACAGATGTTAAATGAAATACTATTACAGGAAATTGATTTTATTCGTTATTGCAGATATTGTTGTATTACTGGTTGATATAAACGGAGGAAATGCCATGATTTACAAAACATCGCTGTTCTTACATTGCCTGGAATCATTAATTGTAATTGTAATAAATAGGGTAGTAGTAGTTTGTTTGTTTCTCGTTTAATTAATAATTTTAACTTGCTTTTGACTTGTTCAATTTTTTTTACAGAAATGTTTGTAAATTTTGAGTCATTTTATAGTCCTAAATAAATAATTGAAATTACTGAATAATGAATGACATTCGTGCAGCAGATTGATATATATTATCACTCTTTCTTTTATGGAATATTTACAGTAATAGTTTTTGTTACATTTCCATTTGTTAATATTCAAAATCGTTTCAAAAATTTCATTTAATTCTCAAAATATTTGCTTGTTTGTCAAGGACTTATCAAAAAAAAAGATTGTTTAGCAGTTGAAGAAGTACGTAAGAAGCCAGAAAGAGAAGGATGTTATAAAATGATTAAGCGTGTGATTCAACTTTTTTTTATATTGTTTGATTTATCATCGTTACTACTTTGATTCTATCATTCAGTATAATTTCATATGCTCGTACACTCTTTTCTTCCTTAATAATTCTGTATCATTCAGCTCACCTCGAAAAATGTCAAAAAAAAAATGATCGAGGTGGATAACGCATACTCATATTTGAGTAGTTTTTTTTTGAACAAACTTTAACTACTTTTAAGCTTTTCAGCTTTTCTTAAATATTTTTGGTTCCAAAAAAATATCGGTTATATCTTTGGTTTTTGATTTAATAATTGAAACTGTTTGTTTTTCTTTTCATGTTATCAAACAAATTGATAGAAGCTTTGGCTCATTTTTTAATTTTTTTCTTTTTTTAAACATTCCCAGCAATCATTGTAGAATTAAGCTTAGTGATTCCAGATGGAACTCCAGAATTATGTGGAATGAGTTTGATTTGAATATTACTTTGTCCATTTTTTAATAAATTCGTTTACTGATGGAAATGAAGGACGTAACTTTGATCTTTTTAAATAAATTTCTATGTGGACTTCTCTGCTTTTAATATCATCGTTACCCATAATTTCAAATACTAACAATATTTTCAACAATTGAATTGAAATGTTCAAATTTTAGAGACACCATCCTTAACTTTTCCTTCTTCCGAAAAAAAATAGTGAGGTCAATAGCGTAGATGAATTTTATTATTGAAATCCTCATAATATTTTTCATTTAGGATTGGAATGGGAACATTTTTGTTTTTTCATTCATTTAACTATAAAATTAAATAGATATTCCGGTAAGTGGGCAATGGATAGCTCTCTGATATAAAACCAATTGAATTTTGATAACAAAAAATTAGTTATTATCATCCAAATTATCATCCAATAAAAAATCGAGCGATCATTTTTACATCCGTACAAACTGGCAACATATGATAGTTAATGAAAATTTGTCGATATCCAAATTATACTTTTTTTTCGTTATAATTTTATTATGAAATTATAATATTATGATAGTAATGATGTTTGGTATTCACTAACAACAGTAAGCATTTCTTTTTTTCTCTACAAGTAATATCAAATGATTTGTTCACTTTTACTAATTATTAAAGTTAACATTTGAGAAGTTATAAATAATTTCATAAAAGGAGCATGAAATATTTAAATAATTTTTTTTTTCTATTTTACTAAAATTGTTAGCGAATAAAAGTGTAAATGTCATAGCATAATGCAAACACAAGTAGTACAAATTTTGCATAAAGAAAAAAAATGGCGTTATGAATATTGTTGTTTTGCCGAAATTTTAATGTGCAGAAATGATTCCCAAAAAGTGTCATTTTGTTTTTGAATAATTCTCGTACGGTTGCTTCATAACCAATCACCGATTTTTCGACTGCTGTTGGTTTATAGTGCTTTATTGAGATATTTAATATAACAAAAATGAATACAGAGGCATTGGAAAATTGTCTTGATAGATGTTCGATGAGAATTATCACTGAAATGGAAAAATACGAATTTCGGCCACCAAAAATTGCTTTAATTACAGGGATATCCGGACAGGTGAGTTTTTTTTCCTTCTTTCAATTCTTTTACTTTTTTTTTCAGTTTTATTAGGTAAGTTAATTTAGTAAGATTTTTTGTAGGGTTGTGTTAGGTAATACATTACTGGTTTATTAATAGTTTCTTTTTTACTCCACATTTACTACTAAGTAATATTTTTTAAATAGGTTTATTAGAATCACGTTTTCTCAATTGTTATATTTCGGTTGAAGTGATTAGATTAATTAAATTAAAGAAGTTGATTTCGAATGATTCTGTTTGATTCAAATTACCAAATAAGTAATAATCAATTCTGGTGCTAATGATCTTTCAATTCCATCAGGATGGTTCCTATCTTGCTGAATTGTTGTTATCGAAAGGTTATGAAGTACATGGAATTATTCGACGATCATCATCTTTCAACACAGCTCGGATCGAGCATTTGTATTCAAATCCAGTAACCCATAATACCGACTCCAGCTTCACACTTCATTATGGTGATATGACAGATTCATCCTGTTTGATTAAACTTGTCAGTCAAATCCAACCAACAGAAGTGTACCATTTAGCCGCTCAAAGTCATGTCAAGGTTTATAGTACTGTTAAAAATTCCTTTCTTTTCACTTTTTTAACCTTTTTAAGTTTAGCATATTAATTGTTTGATGATTAAATAATAGATGTTACAGGTATCTTTTGACTTGCCAGAATACACAGCAGAAGTTGACGCTGTTGGAACACTGCGTTTGCTGGATTCCATTCATGCGTGTGGTTTAACTAATAAAGTAAAATTCTACCAAGCTTCGACATCCGAATTATATGGTAAAGTGCAAGAAGTGCCTCAAAAAGAAACTACACCCTTCTATCCTCGTTCTCCTTATGGTATATTTCATTCAGCATATCTGGTAATTATCAGAAAAGTATGTGCTGACAGAAAATATATCTCTGTTATCATCCTGACAATATTTTTTAAGATCACAGTAATAAAAGTAATCACTGACATCTTAACTAGCAGTTGAATGAGAAAGAGTAGTTTGATTAACACTTGATATCGTTATCCTAAGAGGTGTATGTGTGTATGTGTGTGTAAATAAGGTGGTGTACAGAATGCAGCAGTATCATCCTTAATCGAATGATTTGTAACTGAACAACTGAAATAATCTTGATATTTTACCATTTTTTCTTGATTACAGCTGCTGCGAAGCTTTATAGCTATTGGATTGTGATTAATTACCGTGAAGCATATAACATGTTCGCTTGCAATGGAATTTTATTCAATCATGAAAGTCCACGACGAGGTAAATTTTCCTTTCTTTTATTCGTCCTATTCATATTGTCAGACAGTGAAAATACTTGTATGTACAGGCGAGACGTTCGTTACACGAAAGATTACGAGAGCAGTTGCAAAAATTGCCTTAGGACAGCAAGACGTACTGGAATTGGGAAATTTGAGCTCCAGTCGTGATTGGGGCCATGCCAAAGAATATGTCGAGGTCAGTGTTTTATAGTTGCCACTTGTAATTCCACTAATTAATAATTTGGCATAAAACAAAGTACCTATACCGAGTATGATACGAGGTATGATTGGATTTTGCCGCACACAATATGCTCGTGATAGTTACGATGACGTCTGAAGCCGTATGATGAAATGATGAATTTTAATAGTTGAGAATTGAATTACTGGTAGTTTTGATACACAGGCAATGTGGAAAATACTGCAACATGATCAGCCCGATGATTTCGTTATTGCAACCGGTAAGAGCTACACTGTTCGTCGATTCGCCGAACTTGCTTTCAAGGAAATTGGGAAAACAATAATGTAATTCTTAATGTCACTTACCAATGACTTGACCAGTAAATAGCTAGACGGAACAATCTAATCGTCCGCATAATGAGAACCCTGGAAAACCATGTACCTCCTAACCGGTAGGTAATATAAAAATTATGTTTGCACTTTTCGGTTCATTTTGTTTGACCATACTTCTTACTATAGGTGACATATACTTCACGACGCTTTGTAAATCGGTTTTGATTAGTTTTCATTAGCTAAAGGGACCTTTACCTACCAAGTCCGTCTTCTGTTATGCTGTAGGTTCCCTAGTACTGGACCTCTCAGTTCAACTTAACTACTTACTGAAGATATGCTTATCCTGCTCATCTCATCTCCTTTTCCACTTTGCAGTTGGGAAGGTGAAGGAGTGAATGAAGTCGGGAAGGAAGAAGATACCGGTATTATTCGGGTCAGAGTCAGTCCTAAATATTACAGACCAACGGAGGTAAATAATTTGCGGCTTGCTTAAGGCTAAAGAGTATACTAGAAAACTTTTGTTGAAGTTTCGATAACAAAAGCGGTTGTGAAAACTGTTCGATCAGCTGAGCAACTTGCGTAATAACTACAAGTTATTGTAGCCTTCATAATATCTGTACAAGCAGTTAGTAGTTAAGTGGATGAAGTTAAAGGAAATAATTTCTAGGTGGACCTGCTCGTAGGCGATTCTACAAAAGCGAAACAACAACTCAGTTGGGAGGCAAAAATTACACTGGAGGTGTGTCATGAATTTTCTATTTTCCCTTGTGATGCATACTCATCCTGACAGACAGTAGTGTTATGAGCATTGTTTTCAGGAGCTCGTGAAGGAAATGGTGGAAAGTGATTTACGACTCATGAAATCAAACCCAATGGCCTAAAAAATATGAATTCTTAATAAAAATGTTCATTCTTATACACATATATACAAACACATATGTGTACACATACATAGCAACCATTACACATACATGGCAACCATCTGTTACCTTCCTTTCTTTTCCTTTAATATGAAAGGATTTTTCAGTTGTTAAAAAACGAAATATACAAATCATTCAGTATATGTGCGGCTATCATTATTTACCAGTAATTTATATGTTTACATGATATCAAGATATAAGGGACCCATAACACAACGAAATAATATCATAGATTATCGGTGAAATTCATTTTTTGCCCGATTTTTTGATACCACCGCCAACGAGCGGTCCCTTTTGAGCTGCTTTGGCTTGAATTTCCTGCAGTTTCTTGGCTTCTTCTTGTTGTTTCTTTCTGAATGCAATGTCTTCCTAAAAATAAGCACGTTATTTCAGAGAATCTCCCTTCCCGAAACAAACTTCTGAATAAAACAAGGAAGTCAAAATTCCAGCATTCTTACAAACTTCGTACGTAAGAATGCTGGAATTCACTTATATCTTCTCAAAACAAAAGGGTACTCTTCATGAACATAATCTGGAAAAAGGCATATATAGAAGAATCTAAAATGGCCCTCCTACATGATCAAAAGTGCGGTTATATAAAGAGATCGCCTTATTTGTTCAATGAACTAGGCCAAACCTCAGTGAGCTCCTTCTGTTCTTTTTTAGGCTTCTTTAAGGGTTTTGCTTTGCCTCCTTGACGACCAGACATTGACGTGAAGTGAATCGATTACAATACAACCTGAAGAAAAAAAAAACATAAGCTAGATGTTGGGGAACGCTGACAAGTATGTGAACCCACTCTTTTGTTTTTCCTATCTTTCACATCATCCAAAATAGACATCACTTATCACTAGCAGCATCCTTAGAAATGGGTATCTCACTTAAAATTTGAAATCCGGAGAGCCCACTTCCCTAATAAAACTACAACATGTGAAAATATAGAAGTCATAAATGACTCGATTCATGTTGGTGTGTTGTTATTCGAAAAACATAAAGTAAACAGTCCATAACAATGACAGCTATCCTCTCAAATCAGTTTTTAAAATAAGTAGTGGTACGGATAGGATATGTTAGTAAAGGAAATTGTTGCTCTTACCAATCCCGGATCCCGCTAAATTAAACAAAAGGAACAAACAGAAGCTCTCTCTTCCTCATTTCGAGTCACAATCTAACTCCAATCCCAACACTGCTGCCCCTAATCAAATAGCACCCACCAAAAAGCCATTCAAAATCCTAACAGCAACCGTCCCACTGCTCACAAAACCCGATAACGCACATCTACGACAAACAGTTCAAACCGATCTATGTTAATCGGTTTGAACCATTATGCAAACTGTAACATTCCCAATGTTACCATTCTGTACTGTTAGTCAACTTGTGTTGGGAAGAGTGTTGAAATAGTAAGAAGTTGGTAATCTGCTAGGCTTGAAACTGAATGAGACTGCAATAGGGTATTTGTTATATGCTGTGATACAAAAGCATATATATTACGTAGAGAGGGATGAGGGTCGTTGTTCAGCACCAAATAACATTATAATTTGATACTTCCTCCATTCCTGAATTTCTGTTCCGGAATATTGCAAATGTGATAGTAACTGATGTCATTTAAAATTTTAACGGATGCTTAGAATATCTGATATGTGTAATCCCCATCATAATGTATACGTTAATCGATTTCACATATGGCATGCAATTGTATATTAACATTAAAAAAAAATCGAAGTACATTCAGTGAAATAGATTTCTTGCATTACTGCTTTGCATTTTTCGTAGAAATATGAATTAAAAAAAAAAGAACAATAGTAAAAGTCTAGAGTGGAGTATTGCGATAAATTAATATCCGATTGTTTAAAAATCAACTACAAGAAATCGGGAAAATTATGTACAAAAGACAAACATTATTTTGTTTGGGCACAGGTTTTTTCTATTATAAATTAAGTATATGAGCAGAAGATAACGTGACAATATAATATGATATTTTTAAGAAATAACCACAACGTGAGAAAAATTGAAAATATCAAAAAAAAAACGAACAAAATAAGAAGCAATGGAAGTATCTATCTTCAGTGTAAAATGAAATAAGTATCAGAATAGTATCACATGGTATTTAATCTTTATTTTTAAGAGATAAATAAATTTCCACCTAAATACAGAATACAGAAAGACAATAGGATCAAATCTCAGCACGTAAAAGATCAGCAATTTTCATTGAGGTCGAAATAAATGCATTCCAGATCAGAGCGTTAAAACACATCACATTATATCACTTATTTAAATACTGTGACTTGTAATAAAAACATATGTTTCTTAATCAACAGACTAACTTAAAATAAATATAATTATTATTTTTAAAATGAAAATATAGATTTATAGCTGATCAAATGAACTAAATTATTAACCAGAACAAAACTATCGGCATGCTATACTGTTTCAATCTGCTTATTAATACTAACAAAATGTGATGATGTACGAAGTGGCAAATGGCAAAAGCTGAAAAAAAGTATGATCTTTCATAAACTACTCGAATATAAAAGATTGTAATTTCTGGAACCATGGAAAAAAAAATTTTAAGATTTTTTAGTCCTAAGCGAAATTTAATTTCTCCATAGTAACTCAGTCAGATTATATACAATCCAATATTTTACTAAGCCTATTAGGAATTTGAATACAAGAAAATACTAGTGATAACCAATCCGGTTCCAAGTAAAAATAATGGATTCGGAATGAAATCGAAAAGAAATATTGATGCTACCATACTAATAACAATAGCAGCCGCTGTCGCAAAATTTTTCGCTATATTACCAGAATATTTAATACATACTGCAACGGATAAACCACCAATGCAGTACCAGAAAACAACAATCCAAACTAGCATATCAAAACCATACAGCATACCTTCATTAAAAATTATTCCATGGTCCTGAAAGACATCTTTATACAAAAATCTTATTACACGGAAATTTTTTGAATGTAACAGCAACGAGAGATATTAACGTACAGCGGGATATGTTTCTCGAAACTTCAAGATAAATTTAAAAATAATCATATAAAGTAAATTTGGAGACCAATAACACAGATGGATTAAATGAAATCATGGCCGACACTATGAGTTTCTTCAGATGAATGACTATAACTGCAGTACAACAATGCTAGCATTGATATGAATACTGTACTGAATTACCGGACAATTTCGATGATCTTAGTGACTTCCTTAACAATGTTTTTCTATATTTTTTATTTATAGAACAAAAGAGTTAAAACTATAAATAAGTTTTTTTGTAACAGAATATAACGAAAAGCATTTTGTGCATATTTATATGTAAATACCTTCATAATGGAAGCGGTAAAACTCGAAGGTATTCCAAACACTGCTAGTTGCACATTACGCATCCACACCGATATAGATGGACTGGTTTTCAAAATTTTTTCAAAATATATTCCTGCAAAACCGGAAAGAATGCATGCAGAAACGGAAGCCAAAAATCCTGAAAATAACAGTTTGGAAACTTATCACCTTCTTCAGTATTTGAAAATCGTTCGGTAAATTCAGATAATAACCTTTGTTTTCACAATAACTTACTAACTTGTTATGCAGCTAAGGAACAACAAATCTTAACAGTTGTAAAATCTAGAAGAATTGCATAAAAGTACATTATAGCACATCTTCCAGGTAATGGAATATGGGCCTTTCTAAGAAGCCTACGATGAAAGTTTTAGAACTTTTTTTTTGATGACAACCAACTAGAAAGACTAAACTGTCAATTAAAATTACAAAACTGTTACCTAAATAAGGATCGTTGAAAGACAAAGTTTTCTTTGTTCCATGCTGATCCAACTGAACGAGGCATATACCAACAAAAAGCACACCAAGAGATAACCATTGCCTCTTAGTAATGGTTCTTTTCAATATAATTACTGCAAATATCGCTGTTGTGAAAATTTTCAACTGTGCAGTCACCTGGAAAATATAAACGTAGAATTACAAGAAAACTATTTTCCTTCTCCATTATCTCTCTCACACGAAATTATAAAGTAAAAAAGTAACCATGTATGCTGCCACCTCGAGATGAGATGCTGCCACGTAAAAGAGATTATTTTGTATAATATAGATCACTGCAGGAATACAAACTTTGAAAGTATCTTTTGAATTATAAAATACTTCCTGTTTCACAAGACCCAGCATGCTGAAATTCATTATCGAATAACCACTTAATTGCAGAACTGAAGCATATTTTCCGTCTTTTGAAATAAATAAATGACAACAACTCATTTACCGCAACTCCTTCCAAGTCCAACCAACAGCCTCCTATAACGCTAATGTCATGCTAAATATGGTATCAATGAGGCATCCATGGTATTAATGCTGTAAAATCATTTAAAGAAAAATGAAAAAGATTACCATTTCTAAAATATTACGATCCCACTTGTCAGCTTAACAGTGTTATCGGTTACCAAATCAGCTAAATATCGAAAGCAATCAAAACCTCTTCCTAAGAATTGCATATGCTTGAGAAACTTTTGACCTTCGAAGAAATTTTTAAGCATGAAGTTAAGTAACCTGCTTACGCCCTTTTCCTCATAAATGATGAAAAGTAGACAGGTAATTAATTTGAGAACTTCAGTGAAAAATACAGCAACTGATGGAAGAAACACTTTCTCGACAACTCGGACCCTCGAATACCGTAACAATAATGTATGTGCTGAATTTTGCAGGGTTAACCATATCAAAGCACTTAATTGCAGTATTATTCCTGGACTTCCTGTATGCTTCCGCACCACAGAAATTTTCATCTACAAACAGCAAATAATTGATTTCCATCATTCATTTCCAGGCAACTTCTTAATATTTCAAGATCTCGGGGTTTTTCTATCTCAAACATCTCATGCAAAAAAATACATAAATTTGAAGTGCATATGAATTAAATAAATTGCACTTACGGGATCAAATTTCTTGCACCCATCACCCAATTGCTGATTACGATCAATCAGCACTTCATTGTCTTTTCCAGTCATCGGAATCAATATCAAAATGACCTTCCTAAAATGCGTATATTGAAACAATAAAAGTCACGAAGTATTTGCGGATGGAAAAGATTCTCAAATGTTGGAACTTCATCTCCCTCTATATATATATGAATTGTAAATAATCCGTTCTGTTTATCAGAAAAATCTCTAAATATGGCATCAAATATATCTCGAATTTCACACATCACTAATGTCAATTCCTGTCCTTCCCGAGAAATTGCTACTTCGGCAAAATTTTTAACAGATTTAATATTCGATGTGCTCACAAAACTATGAAATGGGTGGGGAGAAGAGAGATGGTGAATGATGTCAAGGTTAAACTGCTGTTATCGTGCAAATAAAAGATAACCAATAAACGAATTGAATTGCCGAACTACAAAAGATGACGGTAGAAGATTGAGGATCGGGAAGCATGATCTTGGATGAATTAATCCACGCATAATTTCATCGATGCATTTGGCAACCGATACAGTTCTACTCCTTTATTTCACGTTCTGATTCTCTCCTGACCTAGTTCCCTGCATCTCATCTGCTCTCAGATGTTACCTATTTTAAAGTGCCGCAAAACATTACCTGTATACCTTTCTAGAATAGTTTAACTGTTCTATCATTTAAATTCAGGTTACTAATGTTAGTAATGCAATTCATTTAAAATCATTTTTAAAATATTTTAATCTTAAAAATAAAAGCACCGAGAGATGACCACAGAATAAAACTGTAATAGAAATCAAACAAACAGTTGACAACAACGTAGCTTTTAAAATTAACAGGAAAGAAATTGCAGCTTTTTTTAAAAATCAACATCAGAATACGAAGAGAAATTAAATAATCCAAGAAGGATACAAAAAGCAAACTTGGTGTAAAACATTATAAGTCAGTGAAATATGTAAACAAATGAAAGTAAAATGAATGATTTTCAGGCACGTATTCACTGCTTTTTAGGAATATGGAATATGAAAATATACCGGCAGATTTACAAATAATGACAAAGACGTATGCATCATGTACATTCCATGAACAATGCGTGTGGTTTAAAGAAAAATTTCTTTCACATGAATTTAGATACAGTCTCCAACTGAAACAAAAATATGCCAAATGTGTTTGTTCCACTTTATCACCGTACAGTCGACCTGCTGACTGAACATTTTGTTCAAATTCTTAATGAACCATCCTTAAAAAAGAAATAAAAACAAAAAACAACCAGAAAAGAGTGTAGTCTCATGTCTACTACTAATAAAACAGACTGAAACAAATTCATAACTGAAATTAATGATGTCGCATCAGGCAAGAGAAAGGGAGAAAGAGACAAAGATGGCAATTCCGAGAGTGAAGAAGCCCAGCAGCTATTAATAACGATATAAATAAAATATTCATAATACCAACGTTCAAGACGTGAAACTTCTTTTGCATTCCGAACTGCAAAAAACTTCCTCATTTTTGACGATGAACTTCTGATTCAGTAACACCTTACTGCAGTATCTGCATCTGAAAATACTTGCAAAAAATATTACCAAAAGGTGTTTAGATATATATACTCTATATATTTCGTATGCCACATACGACGCACATAGATTCTTATCGTATTAATCAGTTATGGTGGGTGCTTCTAAAACACATATTCTTTCCTAAAGCCAATTCAGAAAAAAAAGACAACTAACCGGAAACAATCGTCTCCAGCATGCCAGTGTAGGTCTTTGAATGAAATCCGCTGTTGATCAGGTGCTATTTTAATGAGGCAAAAACGGCAAGTCTGAAATGTAAGTTTACAACTTATGCAACATAACAAAAATTTTTGTACGAATTGCCCCTGCCTGTAGAATTATCCATGGTTAGATGTCAACAAAATTTTTTCTAATCTGCTAAAATTTAAACATTTTTTATTGAAGATGAGACATATAAAATAACGTTTCAAAATCCACCTTAGCATATCTTTCCATATAACAATTGAAGCAGTAAGGTTGCTCATCTTTCATCATATACCGATGACCACCGAGTTGCATATCACATCCAAAACAGCAAAAATGATCCAAGTGCCAGCTTTTATCCTCAGCAAAAGTATATTCTTTCGAGAAAATAAGCTAAAAAAGTCCCGCCTGCTATTACTAGCAACTCAAAAGCTTCTATGATGATATTGAAGCATGCAGAAAATTGAGCATTCTTATTACCAGGAATATTCAGTGATCCATGGAAGGACGCTTTTCAGATAACTCATGAATGGACAATAAACGCAGCTACTATTGAGCTTTTAAGAGATGGACAATTTAAAAGTTGTCAAATGATTCCACTTAATCTTTAGTTATTAGAATATTTCATTTAATCTCTCTACTGGTCCGATTATTGACAGCCAAGAATTCCCATCATTTAGCCCTGAGACCATACATTTAAGACGTTTCGTCTGTGGAAACTTTTACAAAAACTTTAGTTTCTAGATAAGAGAACTGGCCTCATCACAGCCGGAACATCTTGGATAAACAGAATCGCCGAAGTGACGGCCGCAATAATAAATTCCATTCTTATAAAAATAGAGAAGGTCTACAAGCCTCTGTTTGCAAATATGACATTTGAAGCAGTTGACATGCCACATTTCCTAAAAAATTTAATTGTTTATGGAACCATACAGCAAGTACTTCAAAAAATTGATTGTGCAGAAGGATTATAAAAGACAAACATTTGGTGATCCGTGATCTGTTGCAACAGCGATCTCTCCAATTTGTAAATTTTTATGGCAAAACTGACACTTCTAAAGTTAAAAAATTTCCAATAGTTGTTTGATATGAAACAAATTGTTTCCAATAAATAATTAGTGATAAATAAAATATTTCTACCTTGATTTTACCAGCTTTCCAAAGTTGAGATATTTTTAAATAAGAAACGTTTATAGATGAGATCAAATACGTAGAAGACACTTTGAAACACAAAATGAATGCGATAGCAAAAGTTTTAGCTAACCCCATAATTGTCTTGCAAGCTAATGCTTCCAATATCATGCGATCCAGATCCCGTAGTCTTCCAACTGTCATTTAATGTATTCGTTTCAGAGAACTCAATTAACTTACCCACACCAACAATCTAAATTTTTCAAAATATTTAGCTACCAACCATTGTTCGTTTTAATCTGAATAAAAAATACAAGAAAAACAAGAAAAGATCGAATTTACTAACATGTCTGATAAATTAATACACTGCTATATTTGATAATGGCTCGACTGCATACTTAAAGCATTATACTACAAACATTAAAATTAGAATGTACAATGCAACGAACCCTTTCCTTTACGGTATTTACATACTTCGCGTGTTCCTTCCTATCCAATTCAGTCTTTAGAGATTTCGCAGCAGATGCGTCAGAATCATGATGTGGCAACTGAAGAGAAAAATTCGGATAAGAAAACAACGGTGGACAAAACTTTTAAGTCAGAATGACATGGATTTTATTATGTGAATCAGCTTCCAAATCTGATTTTGCTCATAAATTATACAATAGGATCAATATCAGAAAGATGGTAAAATCGTTTTTCTAAATGTAATTTCGACTAAATCACTCTGCTGAAATTCTAAGAAAAAGATCTAAAGACATAAGATTGCCTACAAGCAAAGAGCATGGAGCTCAAAAAGGTAAGTAACTATAATTTCAATATTTTCAAACCTGATACTGTAATTTGTGACGCCGATTTAGGGCACCTTCAGTGTCAGCAATAGGACGTTCGCTTTCTGGAAGAGCACTGAAGTATTTCTCAGCTAATACTCTGTCGGTTGTTGGAACCCACGTATATTCCGACATTTTGTTTTTCTCCTTAGTATCTTCAAATCTCACATTGTACATTGAGTCCAGTCTGATTTTCTGGAAATTGATCAAAACGATGCAAATTATCTTGTGTAAGGTGATTTCAGACATTCTTAAAAATTAAAATACAATTACTTGCAATGATATACATATGCATTTTTTCTACATGAAAACTGCAGACCTCTAATTTAGTATTAGGAACATGATAAGCCTTTTTAGAGTTCGATAATGAAGGTGATGGCGAATGTAAACGTAACTTGCTCTCAAACTCGGGTAGGAAATCAAACAAACGACCTGTAAAAGTAATAGTTAAAATTGTGATCCGCTGATAAGCGTGATTAACTAAATATACATCACTGTATTCTCAAACATTGAAGTTAATATGTGACATCGAAACGCTTAGGATTTTAAACAAAGTGGATGAATACAATCAATGAAAGATGAGATGAAACGAGAACCTATCACTATTTGACCATGGTCCATGTTTCTTGGTAATATTACATCGTGATCATCCATCCTGCAGGAACATACTTTACACATTTTCCTGCAAAACTTTTTCATATTATTTTACGATATAGCAAACGAATATGCAAAGAAAAATTATCGATATTTTCACCGAGCATTCAGGAAAATTACCTCCAGTAGTGTAAATCGAGACCTGGACAATCACACTTTAAACAACGTGAACCCGCACCGATTTCATGACATAATATATTCTGAAAACACTTACTCATTAAACATCCAGAATATTTCTAAGCATTTTATGAGCAAGTAAAACATGCAGCGCAATTTCACATCATGAAATTGTCGTTAGAAACATTAAATACTCATCTCACTATACAAAAAATAAGAAATTTAAATTAAAAATGAAGAAATTTCATTCGCTGATAAAAAATAAAGTATAAACTACCAATTTTCAGGGAAACTGGTCCCGCATAAATGGTATTCTATCATTTCTTTTAGGCCCTTAATTCCGAAAGATCACTTTCAACTTCTTTTTTATGAACAGTTTTTTTTTCAGCAGGTATCAAACATTAACTAAACCTATAAAACTTTTGTCAGAAAAATTTGAATTCATTCTTTCTTTTAACTTTATTTTAACGATAAATAGCAAACCTTAGGTTTATTTTCAAGCTTGAAAATATCTGGATTAACGTGAGCACCACGACGACAATCCACTTCACTGGTCATTACTTCAACCATTCAATACATGCAACCAGTTACAATGTTGGTACTATCTTTTGTCAATGTCGTTACACTACAATAGAAAGCATTGATCAAATAGCTGTTAGTATTCATCTTTTGTTAATATTTTATTGCATATATTTAAAAAGAACGACAAGAAATAAGATGCAGAATGACATCATCCCCAAAATTGAAATGTCATAACATTAAACTTGAAAATGAACAACGATGAGAGCAGTTGAAACAGTCAAATTCTTCTCACCAACGAGAAGTGAACTAACAGATAAGCTAACTTGGAAGCAGCCATCGAAACATTCATCCCTTTCATGAATTGATAAAATTGTAAGCGAAAAAAACACCGATGACTCAAAGCACTTTCAATCGATCTAAATTGCTATGGTTTCCATTTTTTGAGGAATGGTGTAGTTTGAAATGTCTAAGTGTTGCATTCAGGAGAGAAGTAAGCTGAACTGAATATTTCTTTTTCTTCTAAAAAATGAAGTCTGTATTAAAAAAAAAAAAATCACACGTAAATATGGAATCATTTTGCTCAGCATGACACTATTAAAGGTTAATTCCCTTAACAATTTCTATCACAGAAGAAGAACGAAATCAAAACTGCATATTTCTTTATCTGTTGTGGAATTTCCCAATGATAGCAGAAAATACAAACCGAATATTCTCGTATGTTAGCAACTTTAAATACGTTTAAACATACTCAGTTCATCTATGAAGACAATATTAAAAAAAAAAAAAAAAANGGAATGAGGGTATAATATCCAAAAATATTGGATAGCAAAAATTATCACTCATAATATCAAAGATTTTTATAATATACAAAGTAGCTTTTGGAATATATAGTAATTGAGGAATTTGTTTAACAAGCTTTGCTGATCAGTGTGATATGATAAGTCATTTGTTATATAACATCCGATTATTGTTAACGAAGCAATCGATTCATTTATCCACTAGATAATTAATATTTGAACATGCTTAGTGATTTTTGTTGACCTCTTATAACCTTAATTGACCTTCTTTCTAGCATTACACATCATATGGTAAAGAAAAGAAAATTGCAAGAAGTTGAAATAGGAACACAAACATTACTAATTAACATTGTGTTGTGACACACACTGACCGACTCATTCACTCACTCACTGAATAGTCATCCTCTTAAGTTTTGCCCTTCCTTCACCTTTTTTTTTTCTCTGCACCAATAACTATTATGGAAGGAATCCTTATTCATATGCTCCTTCCCTCTCTCTCTCTCTCTCTCTCTCTCTCTCTCTCTCTCTCTCTCTCTTCCTCTCTCTTTCTTATTCTCCTTCTTTCCCTCCAAATGCAACTTTAATGCTTGAAATATTTTCAAAATTTTTATTTGATCCATCTGAATCGAATCATAAAATCCCTTTCAAACATATATCAACGATATACGAATACAACCACATCTCTTCTCTCTATTCATCTTATTAATTGTCACTATGCTTCCCTGAAATTAACATTGAAGGTCATCATCATCAGTTTACTATTGATGATTGTTATGCTTGCTGCTCGTCAGATGATTGTCCATTCATAAAAACGTCCCCTTTTGTTAGTGTTGACCTAACTCTCCATTACAATAGAGTGAATTTTATTCCCTGATCTATCTTACAACAACATGTTACTGTATGAATTCTCCAACAATTCTCCTTTTTTATATGAGTGGCAATTTTTGTGTGATAACCGGTAATCCGACACAATGAAAGGAAGTATTATCGAATGGAACAACTCCAATTCACTCGTGCTACTTCGATCAATTTTCATGAAATAGCACACCATCAAATAGTTCCTCAATTTTCTTGTCACTCTCAATCATTAATGGATGGATGAAAGGATGAAAAAAATGAGTAATATAGCAGGAAAGGATACATTTGAAAATGTTGAAAAAAAAAAGAACACTGCGAGTGTTTATTATGTTTTCTGGATTTTAATCATGAAAATACGATATCTTACGGTTTATCCTTACAGCATAATTCATACATAATATAATGAAGTAACTACTGAAATTACAACAATTAATCAGCTACAGTATCCTTTGCTAGGAAAATTAATTTAAAATCATTACTGATGACAAAGAATTGTACCTGTGCTTGCATCTCTTTCTATTCCAGCAATAATAATAATTTTTTGTACAACATGCTAAGAACTATCAGATATACATTAAATTTATTTTAAACAAATAATGAAATTTATTTCAAACTTTTTGTTTCAAAAATAATAAGTGCAAAAAAAAAGGAAAAGAAAAAATAACAGAAAAATTTGCTTGCAAAATGTAGTAAATTCGAAAATTTTACAGAAAAAAAAGTACGCTCTTTTTCAACATCGATTAACAATGCTCACTAAAAATTATGTGAATTTACAACGAATCAATTGATAATGCAAACCGAGTAAATTCTTATTGATGTCATGCGGATTATTGTCAACCTTCATACGGATAATAACCAAATGTATGTAATTCAATACCGAATAATTCATTCACACCATTACAGTAGGTAGAGAGTAGCTATAGTAAAAATACAATAATGGTGAATTTAATCATTTAACCTAAAAATCATATTTAAATGAAAGTAACCGAAGTTAAAAATAAACATCAAATTAGGAATAAGTAATATATGAATTAGATTTGAATAAAAAAAAGGATCACTTTTTAGAAATAATTTATACAGTAAAAATGATTACTATTAATGTCACATGTAATTTAAAAATTTATTAACAAGAAGCTGACAAACTGTTTTGAAATAATAAAAGAGGTATAATAGTTATCCCTTCATTCTGATTACGAAAACTTTTTAACTTATTTTTTTTTGTCACAAATTACAAATTCTTTTTCAAGACTGTAAACATATTTAAATTAAAATATTTAGAATACATATCTCTGAATGGACTATTTTCTCAACAAACTATTTTTTTTTTTTCTATTCCTAAATTTAAACGAACTTTAAAAGCATTTTTTGCATTCTACTAGTTTCGTTTTGAAATATATATCTTGAAATTATCCAATCCAACTATTCCCACACTTGAAGTTTACGAATTCTCTCACAATACGGGAGGGAAGAGAGGAGGGGAATTTTATGATTTGGTTTTGAAGGCAAAAAAAAGAAAAAAAATCGGAAAACAGTTTGAATGAGCAATCATTTAGGGATATAAAAATATACTTATAGAACAAATTTTTTTTTTTGTTGCTGTTATCAAATAATGAAGCCATACAATTGTTTGATCGCTTGTAACTTCAGTAAATATTTCATTTTAAAACTACCATAACCTTTACATGTATAAGGTTGGACGAAGTTGAGCCGGATGATAAAATTCAGGAAACTCTTTCATAGCTTAACATTTCGAAATTTTAGCTAAAACTAAAAATAACAAGGAACATTTTCAACAATTCTGAAATATATGTCACAATATATGAAATTATGAATTAAAGCATGATAAGATACAAAAAAAGAAAAATTGTGCGACTTTAATAGGTACAAAAATTTTAACTAAGACTTGACTTTTAAAAAAGGTGGAAACAAATGTTATCGAAATGTTAATAAAAGCAACATTGCATATTTTATTAAATTTCATAAATGACTATTTAAAATTTATATTTTAATTTGTTCTTAAAATATTTGTTATGATATTTTAATGATATCTTTCACAAGTATTCATTCACTGACTTGACCGTTACAAAATAGTTTGCATAAAAATAGTCGATAGTCATTGACAAAGTGATACTGATCATAATACCAATTTTGAATGTTTTGAACTTCAAAACAAAAAATTCAAACTGAAAACGATAATAACAAAGCCAATAACAACTGTACGGTTCAGCGCTATCAACAAATCAATACTTGAAAACCATTATCAAACTTTTAAATGATTCTTAATGGAAAAGTCCGAAAATCTGGTTCTTCATTAGATCATCCGTATTTTCATTCGTTGCTTGTTTGTATGTTTTACTTTCAAAATTATTAATATAGAAATGAGAGAAGTGAACAAAAACGAAAGATGGATAAGGGAAACTGAGACAAATGCCATTCAAAGATTAATGATAAATTAGACAAACTTAATTTTAGTGAAAATAGTAATAATATTCAAAATTATTATAGGCAAATATGATTTCAGATAAAGAAATCTAATTTAATTAAGTTAAAACATGAAGGATGCATGTTTGAAAATAAGATGAATGATGATTACTGATGATAATCACTGTATATGGTTAAAATAACACTGTCAAACTCATCTTTCATCGAATCAGCTCCAATTTCGTTCTTTCTCCACCTAAAATTAAACATCTTGATATGTGTGAGTGATAACAGAAAAATGCATCCTGTAATTTTAATTTAATTTAAATAATATGCTCCATTAAAGCGATACTTATATATTATAAGATGGGTAACGGTAGTTTAAGAGATAGAGGATGTGGAATGAAATTCAGCAACGGGGGAAATTTTAATAATTTTAATGTCACTAAATGTCATTAAAATTGCATGTGGGAGTAGATTTGAGGAGATGACGTATGGAAATATTTTAAAAAAAAAGATATGAATTCCGGATAATTTTAGCGTAAGAATTTGAATCAAAATCCGAATGTTTATTTTCCTCCTATGCGAACTTCTTTCATTGGCTATTCATGTTTTTTGAGAAATCAATTTTCTCTTGATAAGTTTGCTTCTAAAAATTAATGATCTTCATTGTTTCCTGGTTGATTTCAACTAAAGAAAACACGAATTGATTAAAATGGCATAGTCAGACTGATCTAAATGATCGACCCAATCAATTATTGAATTTGTAAGTTGAATGAGATTTGCGAATTGAAATTGAAGCTATAAATCAAAATGCAACGATGGGTTAACTTTACGTTTGGTCATTAATCAATTTTTTTGCGAGGGAAAAAGAATTTGACAGTATTTGAACTATGGACTCAACACATCCATCCGTAAAATTGTAATCCAAGATTATGGAATTGAAATTCAAGAGAGATGATGAGTTCTTGGTGCCTTTGCGATGCGAAAAGTCATATTTCATTTCAGAAATAGCGGAACGACCATTACACATAACATTTCTTTTCAGGATTGCGAAGGATTTTTCTTTGTTTATTGTCATCAGTCTGATAACTACAAAATTATTCATGTTCAAATGGAGGATTTCAGATAAAAATAAAGAACCCGAATTATCCAGTGTTAAAGCACTGATTTTGAAGGATGATGAGAATGATTTGAAATCGAAAGAAAAAAGTGACCAATGAAATATTTTTTGTAAATTAATAATTATTATGAATGCACTGACCAAACAGGCATAGAAGATTGGGAAAAAAAATCGATGTTATCGGGATTTGCAGAAACATTATTTTTCGCGTTGTTCGTCATCAAAAAACAATACCATTTCGAGGGCAAAAAAAAAATGAAATGGATGTTTTGAATTTTGATGTGAAAGATTAGGAGGAGAATAACTAAAATGAAATTGATGCTAAAAATTTGAAAAAATAAAATAAAATGAATCCATAAGAGATGTTGCAAAATTTAGATTAACTTTATATAGCAAATAGTAAAAATGGATATTAAAGATGGTATCAGCTAACCGGATAATTATTAATTCCGTAAATGGGAAAAGATCATTTGCAGAGTGTATGCTATATAGTTATAAGGGTTGGTTAATTAATTGAAGATAGCAAATACTTGCACAGCTCTATGGAACTGGCGA